ATTATATACGATATACGATGCTTCATATATGGTGTATATGTCGTATACTATATATGGTATATGATGTATGAGACATTACATATATATATCATATGTATCATTTTTTTTTTTTTCAACGGGCGTAGTGGCATCGCATTGCCAACTAGTGGTCCTACACTGGTATCAAACCAGTCGCGAACCGCTTTCGTATTCCCTCGAGATAGACCCTTCTGGATTCTTGGTCCTTATTATATCACTCCCCTGCTTAAACTAACAGGCCAGCAGTTTGCGTGGCGTAATTTCTACTTCCAGAGATCTGATAAGCCTGTTCCTCACACGTCTGCAAGTCAGATAGACGAATACAGCGTGCCGCGCATCGTCGCTTAAGTCTTGGCCGAGGTCGCCTGCCTTATCTGGTGGTGAAAACGGCCCAAATAACTCGAAAAATTTCCATGACCAGTGAAAAATTGACTTAGGGAAAAATTAAAATGTATCATATGAGATAAATATAAACGATCTACATATAATACTAATATATATATAATAATATATGTACATAATTACATACACACGATATACATATCATGTATATGATACATATGACACACAGATATCACGTGTAATATTCTTGTACACACATGTATATGGTATATATATATCATATATTAAGTTTTATATATGACATTGTTATATTGATACTATATATAGTACTTGATATATGATATCATATATCAATAATTATATATGTTATATGGTCGGTGATATAATTATTATAACTTGCGAAAGATTTTTAACATTTGGTCGACGTTGAGGGAGTAATAAGCAAAAAATTCGATTTAAGCCAATTATGTAAGATAATAGATTTTTTACGAAGTAAAATGCCCATGTTCAGGGTTATGGTTAATTGATCTGAATGATTATGTTTACGGATTGCGGTGTTATTAAGTATTTATCGAATTTTTTTGCCCTATTGTATTTCATTTCACATTTTAATGACTTTTAATATCATTTTCCTTTTGGTTGTGTTTTATGCTAATAGAAATTTTTAATTAAAACCTGTTATGAATAAATTTGTTTGTTTTAAATTAAATGTAGATTTTAATAGTCGACGGTCAAAATCGACCATTTCAAACAAGTAGCTATAGTGATATTATTGTAAATTTTCATCAATGCGAAATATGGTGGCATTAGAAGACCGAAGCCTGGCCATTATGTATCTTTTATTTACTTTCTCCATTTAAATTTCGCTTTATTCCAAAGTCAAGACATCATCACATCATTCACATTCAGTAAAGAAGAAGATTTTAAAATAATTTCGAAATTCTTTACATATGTGAGCGCCTTCAATGCTGAGTATTCCGAATTCGCTTCGTCTTAAATGCTTGTTTTGTTATAGATTACATCTGCGCAATAAAAAAAATTAATGTATTCTGAATCAATGAAGGGCAGCTATATTTTTTTCCATATTTTTTAAAAAGTTTTTAAATAGCTCTAGCATCAAAAAAGTCCAAAAAAAAGGGAAAACAATGAAAAACCAAAAACAAAATTCATTTATTTTAAAATGATAATTAATTATTTACAACAAAGTCGAAAATCATATTGTAGATGCTTATGTATTCAGGCGTGTATACAAATGCCATTGCATAGATTGGGCTCCAAACGTAAAACAAGATTTAAGCCTATGTACAATGCTAAGATGTTGAAAACAAAATTTTTCTATGTCATGCGTAGTCAATAGAGGAGAAAGCTTCACGGTAAAACCTCGATTAATGCGACCCCGCCTAAAGTTTCTCTGTCTAACACTTTGATTAGTTTAGCATTTATCAGTTTACAGTTGCGTCATTGAACGCTGTACTACTTAAAGGTGATGTGGCCAGCGCCAATTTGCCTCACATTGCTGGAATGCTGAAAGGTGCTTCTGTTAACGGGTCACACTTGATTTTCCCTTTTTTAACGAGATTTTTGATTATGCCACTCCGTTTAATTCAATTTGTGTTCATATTATGAAGCTTTATTAAATATTTATCTACTCTCTGTTTCTTTATTCTGCCTCTTTATGGTGCCTCATTTGACGATGCTCTACTTACTTGTATGCTTTGTATTGCTTTGCTTAATGTTGTTCTTTTAATTGTGCGCCGACGTTGCGAACCGTTTCGCCTGGCACTGCGCACTTTAGCGATGTTTGCTTTTCCCACGTTGCCGACGAGTCTCCATCCAGAAACCATCAATAAGACTGCAAGTCTTTCCGTTGCACATTGGATGTCTACGGAGAGAAACTAGTTGGGCAGTACAGTTTGTATGGATTATCTAAAACGAAGAGTGACTGTGCTGCATAAGGCTGATAACCGAAAAGCATTATAATTTCAACTCGTAGTGTACTGCCCGCTCAAAAAGTGTCATAAAAAGCACCCCCACGTAGTTTTCATTCTTTACGGAATGCCGGCCTGTGAATGAAGAGCTGAAGACGAGTGCAGTGATCCTCTCTTTCATCAGGCGATAGCTTTTCCCCATGCCTAATCTCTAGTATTCCAGATCGGTATAGGGCCCTCTAAGTGATCTAGGCTTGTCTTGCATACTGCGTTCGCAGGCTTTTCGCTTGCATTTTAGCCCGTGAAATAGTTCGGGTCCCATATAATAAGATCTACTAGTAGATATTTAAACGTAGAGATATCTATCTATTGCTTCTTAACGCCATCTCTTTAAGTTTGCTTCGTTTACTGGAAATGAGGTCCCACTCAAACCTGCACAGCCCGAGGCTGTTTGACTCACGGCTGTTACATCTGATACCATCGCGCGGAATGCTCTTTAGTTTCCCTGTTACGCTAATATTTTTCCGCCCGGTTAACATTGTTTCACTTGAACTGCATCATTTAAAACTTGTTTATTCAAACCTTCTCCAATTTGTTACTTGTTGTAATTCTCTTTCAACTTTTCATTGATTGTTGAATCATTTTTTTCAAAAAAACTATACCGCGATAAAAAGATTGAAGAGATTTTTTATTGATTAGTATGCTGTGCGGCAAATAGAATGGGCAACGACGTCTTACTGTATTTATGCTTTAGATCAACGTCATTATTAAAACGATAATTAGGCTGTCGGAAGTGATGACGTTTTTCGATAAATTTAAGAAGTTTATAAAAAGCAAAAGAAAAGAAACAGGTTTCACCGGCAAATGATTTTCTATTATTACAAATGTTTGGGTTGTGGGGAAATTTCTCTCATATCTAAAGCGAAGCCTTAAAGTCTACTGTTTCTAGCAATGACGTACGATGATGTACGAGGCTCGGTTCTCGAAAATAATTTGTCGGAAAAGATAAATTTTCTTATAAACAAAATTGGATTAATTGTTCTACTGTCTTCCTACCTTTGCTACATGCTATTTGAGGTACTTGTGTAAAGGCGTGTGTATCTGGAAATGTTCACCAACTACTGACTTTGTTATTTTCAGGGCTACTCTTAGGTGCCACTTGAAGAGGATCGGAGCTTGTAAAGACGGACGCACGTCATTGATGAGCTAGTTAGGTCGGAAGATATGGGGTGTTAAAAAATGTTGTTCCACGGACACTCCACAGATGGTTACATTACACATGCTTTACCGTTAGGAATAAACGAACGGCCGAAGTTACTGACCGTACTGATGGATCATAAGCCCTGGGCCTTTCTGTACCTATGGTCTCCTTCGGCCCATGATCTGCAATGGGGTCATGTTTTTATCTCTTGGATCGGTAACAATAGATTTTTTGTTTTTTTTGTTAGCTTAGGAGGATTTATGAAAACGTTTTTGCAGCTGGCTTTTACTGATCGTAGAATTTAGGAGGTAACATTATTATTTTCATTCTAGCGTTGCGACCGATCACTGGCCTTAAAACAAAGCGATATGTTTTTTGTCAAGTGTTTTGTCGGTATTCCGAAAATATAGTCATTACAAAAAAACTCCAATAGCAATTTTGTTATAAAAGAATCTTGTTAAGATGCGAAAGCAACTCTGAATAATAATGCTTATGATTTGTGATGTCTCTGTGATGCTTGCTCCGAATACGACAATTCCGGTTTGCGATCTTTTTAGCTAAACTTATCAATGTCAGATTTTATGTTCCGACCTAATATTTTCTTATTCTTCATTTTTAGGTAACAGATCTACGAGGTGAACATTAAAATTAACCTTAAAGACTGACATCAATAATCGAGTGTGATGTAAATACAAAAATGCTTTCAATGAAAATAGAAATTAGAAATTGAAAATAAAAATAAAAAAAAAAACGCGAAAAAAAAGAAACAAAAACAAATAAATCTGAAGAGGTTCAGAATTTTTGCTGATTAATAGCAAATAGAACTTATTGTGCTTTGACTAAAAGTGTTTGCCATTAATCATTTGGGGGCTTTTGAAAAGATTTCAGTTATATACATACATGCATCTTTATAAGTAAAAACTTTTTGTGTGGGTATTTATGCATATACGTACGTATGTATGTATGTATGTATGTATGTATGTTTATTAAGACTTTAGTGATTCTGGCGTGAAGCATCAACATTAACACATGATAAACTCAAGTATATATACAATACACATTTGCTATGCTATACAATACAATATATGCGTATTTTGGATACACATTGATCGGTAGTAGTAGTAGTAGTAGTAGTAGTGGTTGTGATCACTTTGGTAATTATTTTGCTTATGTGTTAAGAGTGTCTCAAGTTTTGGCCTTAGAGTAAGAATAATAGTGTGTAGACTTATATTAATATTACATACGTATATATATATATATGTGTATATGTACACATTCAAACATACCATTTTATAAAGCGCAGCACACACCACACGGCGCACAGAATAGGGCGCAAATTTTAAGTCGATTTGTTAGTTTCACTATGAAGACAACTTACATGTGCATGCTTGTAAATACATTTGTTAAATATGATTGTATTGTTTAGATATACGTTATGATGTATATGTAAAAAGATGATGATCATAGGTTTAAAAATTTTTATGTATTAACTTTATGTTCATTTCTAAACGAAACTCCAAACTGTAACGGCGATCAAAAGACTTGCGCGCAACGGATCAAGTACGGATAAAATGAAAAATCATCAAAATTCTCAAAGATATTGAATATTAAAATAAAAAAGTAAATAAAAAATTATGTTAAAAAAAATGTGTTTAATATAAATAAAAAAAAATTATAGAAATTAAAAAAAAAATATTTCTTATATTTATTGTCTCTAATTAAAGTCAAATTATCTAAAGAAGAAATACAAGAAGCTACACAAGAAGCATTGAATACAAAGAAGAAAAAAAAAAGAAGAAAGATTTCGTCATGGGTCATTTATCAACTTCTGAGCGTGTCATTACGACAAGTGTTGAGCAAACTGAAAGCTCATTAAAGAATCGTCTTAACAACGTCGCCGCTACTGGCAACGAATTAAATGAGTTTCCCAAAAAGAATGGACAAAAATTAATGACTTCTAGTAATAATGTCAATTCTAATGTCAATTATAAAACCAAATATCATACCAATCTTGAGGAATACACGCGCAATTTTAAAGGCGACTCTGTTCTTGGCATACAATTTAAGGCCCCTTTAAAGTGGGATAAAATAATTATGATATTCAGCTTTTATCTTTTATCCATTTTCTATTTGATAACTTATCCTTTGAATAAACTACGTTTACCGACCATTTTATGGGGTAAGTATCTATAGATAAAGAGAGATGTTGATCGTTTGATCTTTATTTGTTTTGCTTTTTATTTTCTTTTTTTTTTTTTTTGTATTTTTTCATCGACTATCGCAAGGATGAAGTATATCTTTTTCAATCACAAATACACATAAGCACAATCCAAAAGTTCCACAGAGTATTCATTCATTCTCCATGAGGATACAGTTTTTAATAATTTCAGGCTTGAGCTCCTCTAGATCTGTGTGTCAGTTCGTAGAAACACTTAGCATCGTAAAAATGAATATACTGCATTGAGTACTACGTCTCCGTGTATATAGTTTTAGTTGACGGTTGTAGATAATATTTTGAAAAATCATTACCTGCAATACATAGATGGTATAGATCATCGTTTTCCTTATACAAAAAAAATTGCGCATCAAAAACCTTTCATAAATATTGCGTAGGATCATCAAAACTACCCGCTGGCACGTCCACTACTCGTGAAATATTTTGTAGTTCGTTATAGATCGGTTGTAAATATGCATATATAAATATCAAACATATATCGAAGACGCCGAAAAAGCGCATTCTTTCTGCCTGTGCTTACTTAAGGAATTTGTCCATTTATAATAAGCTATTTTCCTTCCAAAATGTTATTTTGAAATTACAGAAAAATTTTTGAAAACCCTAAGGAAAACAGTCAGGTCAAGCTAATGCTTGCAATCGCCTAACATTTTAATTTATCAATGCTGTCCAAATATTCGGATAGTATTTATATGTGTATATAAATACGTGAGTAACTATTGTATTTGCCTAAATATTTAGACCCAACAAGCTTTTCTATATTTCACACACACAAAAAAAAAAAAGCGAAAACAAGAACTACGTTAACCCTTGATACGCGGAAAGAATAATTTGCCCGTATTCCGTATTTATCTTAAGAATACCTTTTTTTTCATAAATGTGGTTGAAGCAACGCTTCCATTAGCTAGTTCACTGTATCGATCTCTTTAGCGATATACTCGTAGTATTGTCAAACACAAGGCATATGTAATAGGAAATTAGGTTGGAACAAAACGATAAAAGTATTATTATATAACGATATATTATTATGATGAAATCCGGCACGGACGGATGGACGGATCATAACGTATATGCTCGTCGTACGTGATTAACGGGTTGATTAGCCGTAGAATCTTATAAAAGAATAATTTTCTCAAGCTAAAATTCCCTGTAACCGACACTAGCGAAGATCGTGCTAGTGAAATTTCTGTAAAATAGCGCGATTAAGCCAATTCTTTAAGGGTCACCTTGGCTAAGACAAGGTAAAGGTAAAAAATGCTAGATATGTATGTTATTACCTCTTAAGGTTGTGTGTTACGTGTTATCTCTTATAAAAACCTGACAAAAACCTAGGGCAAAGTACACTGTTTGAGTGATGAATGAAAAAGTGGAAGAAGAGTTATTACATTTGCTAGTCGTAAAATATGCGCCATTTATTTTAAAAGTGAGTTAAGTCCCTTGTTCAAAGCAATGAAGTCAATCATAACGTTGATTACAATTTCTCCCCTCCTATAAGAGAAATTATTAAAATATAAAAGCGTCTTAAATATAAGTGTTGCACACCATTTACGTAATTTGAGTGATGGCAGTTGACCTAATGATCACTAGAAGCTGTTTTTGGAAAATACTTTTCGTTGATTTTGGAAAATTGAATCGCAGACAACCAAAAAGGGTAATGATAACGAAAAAAAGTTGACTTATACGAATTTCAAAGTATGCGGCTCGTATAAACATGGTAGCGTATTTTCTAATCAGTTAGGCTATTGGCCGCAAAAAAACAATAAGTTCTTATCTGATTCTTGGAAATTAAATCCGGGACAATGTCAGTTTGGGTCATATTAATAATAAATTATGCTATCAGTTTGATAGTTTCATAGATAGTGATGGATGAAGTATTTTCTTGTAAGGATGTATCCACCGAACGTGCAGCCGTCGGGGAGAGGGAATGACAATTTTATAATACCTTTTCTGAGACTATAAATTTTTATGCGATATTTGTTTACTTATGTTAATAATTTGTGCTGAACTTTAATAATAAATCGACTGCGGCTTAAAAGAGGGGAATAAGAGAATTGTCGGAATCCAACAAAGCTAAGAAAACCGCGCAAAACTATCTCTTGTTTTATACTCTACAACATTCGTGGCACTTGGGTACCTTAAGTGTGTCCGGATGTATACGATATCCAGAAGGACTTGAGATATTCTTTGGCTGATCAACTTCAAAATCATTTTCCGAATCGTGAGTCATGAGAAAATGATTCGTAATCGATCTAAGCTTGACGTCCTTCTTGTATTCTCATTTTGCTGCCCAGGGAAGAAAGCTATCGAAAATGTTTCAGATCGGATCAGTTTTTCGAACAACTCCACTTGCTTTGAAATGTGGTTATACGGATAACTGTATCAAGCGAAGCGATGTACGGTATTTGTTTTCCTCTATTTGTCTTTACTCGTTTTATAAAAAACCTGCGGAGTTGATCATAAGTTAAAACTATACAAATACATAATAAGACATAAATAAATAAATAAATTTTTTTTTTGCTGTAATAGGAGGTACGTGCTGTTCTGATCTAATCAAACACCTTTGCAAGTATAATTTTATGAATGTTTTTTGAAGCGCTTTTGGGGAAAAACTTTGCAATTAGTTTATAATCAAATCTACGAATGAAATTAAAAACATATGAACTTCTATATATATATATTGGGAAGATTTGCTGTGCTTTTGTCTTTCAAGGTATAGCTTACGATAGCGAGTGCATATACTCCTAAAAAAAAAAAAAAGATAAAGAAATAAAAACCCTAAATATTGAAGTTAAGTGCAATAATACGCGCAGAGAGTTAACAGAAAACTTTCAATAACAAAAAAAAAAAAACGAAGTAAACAAAAAACCGTTTATGGTATTTTTTTTTTTTTTTTTCTGATTTATCATGCGAGTATTACGAAACATTAATTTACATACATAAATATATCGTATTTTTGTACATTCCACTTGCAATGACAAAACAAGAAACCAATTAGTCATAAATGTCCGTCCGACCACCTGCTCTTCGAACTTTTGAAGGTGGAGGAAGTAAGGTACATATATGAGATACATGTATTCAACTTAGAGCTCATTTTCGGTACTTGTTGCTTGAAGTTAATATCCGAAGACTGAAGAACATATTGCGGGCGTTTTAATCGGCCTTTAGAATCTCTCTCTCTCTCTCAACCCTTACCTTGCGTAAAATTTGTACAAATCTTTTAAATCGATAATTGCTGTAACGGTAAAATTAGATCGACCGGACCATTCTTTTACTCTCATCTGCCACCAAGAAGTATTGATAATGTACATACATTAAGAAGTTTCTAGCGCGTGTTTTCAGGTATTACGGAAAGATGTATTTCCCATACCATTGAATAGTCTTATTTTTTCTTATTTTCACAGCTTAGCAACTGCAATTAAAATCTTCCAAATTTTGGTACAGTTTTCTGAATGAACTTATGCCCGATGGCAAAGCCTTACAAAAGTCTAGGCCTTTTAATATTTTGGCAAGTGGCAAACAACTGCTTAAATTAACAGCTAACTATATGTCGTCTTCGTTACATGTACGTGCATGCATAATTTGTAACTATTATTAGTAACGTGACTACGTTAAAGTTTGAAAATGAAGAAGAAAAACATTTTTTATGTAATAATTTTACAATGATTTTAAAACGACAATAATCATCTTCAGTGTCATTATTAAAACATCATCAGCGTGAACGTAATCAAATAAATTTCTTAAACCGCTTTAGCCCTTTAGGCCAAATGATAAACTTTAACGAAGAATCCCAAAGACAAGCATCATTAAATGTGTATTTCACAACATTCCAGCCACGTCTAGTGTAGGAAATTAAGTTTATGGTGTGCCGCTTAAAGATGCCTCTTCAAAATCTAGGCGTTTACCGGTTTGAAATATGTAAATAAATAAATTTTTATTAAAGAAAAACATTTCTTAAGGAAAAATTAAATAAAATATATTTATGTTAATTTTAGTAGCAGCCGTACCTTAGTAAACATAAAAGCACATTTTTAGGTTATTTCGTAGATTTGTAACGGCAATCAAAAAGAAATAGATATTAACTTGTTCAAAAACTTTTTTCTCAGTATAGATATCTTTAAAAACGTAGAGAAGAACCAGAGAATAAAAGAGAAAGTTATATTCGGCGGCCCACCACTATGTTTTTCGCATTCTACTCTCCAAGTTCTATTATTTGATACCCATACCGCTAGCATTATTAAGAAGAAAGTGATCGCGGTGTCGACCATATTCATTTTGAAATGAACCCGTTTTCACCCGGATAATATATCTTCACTTAAGAAGTGTACAAAATAGTTTCAAGCATTCGATGTTGTTTGCCTAGCGATAAATAAGCAAAAAATTAAAAAAAATTGAGTTAGTTACTCTTGTAATTTTGTTGTGGGCATGGTCGATTGGTTACATTTTTGAACCTAGAGGGTAGGCTATTTCGTAAAGTAACTGTGGGAAATTTCAAGGTTCTAATTTTAATAATTTCCGAGTAACGAACAAAAATGTAAAAATTTGTATTTAAAAAAACCAATTTGTGGTCAGTTTACGCTCCATTGCGCGCTTCTGCTCTCATCAATTTGGCCAATTTTCAATACCAACCTGTGTGCAGAAATTTCCAATGTTTCTACCAAAGTTGAATTCGATATCTTCATTTTCGCGACCAGGAGAAAGCACACACCATACAGACACACAGATCCACAGACAGACGGACATGGCGAAATCGACTCTGAATTTCACTCCTTTCAAGAATACATCTACTTTATAGGGTCTCTGAAGCCTTCCTTTGGGTATAACATATATTTTGGAAAAGACAAAATGAGTATACCCCCGTCTTACAGTGGTGGGTATAAAAAGATTTATCCAAATCATGATGCACAAACATTAACATGTTTCATTAACGTCTTATTTTGTTTTTTTTT